AGAGGTGGAAGAAGTACTCAGAAAGTACTTATTATGCAAATTGGATCAATTTCAGAATCATATGATATGTGTTGACTATAATTATTGATACATTAATGTGTTTATCAAAGCTGGTAAAGGTGCAGCTACTTTTAATGACTGTATAGAAGATAGAATTGGAGGATGAAACCCTCCAATATGTAGTAGGCCTAGCTAAAGGTATACTAAATGTAGTGGAGTAAAAGTACACAATTTACCTCTGAATTGTGTAGAATACAAAGTACCACAAAATGGAAATACTCAAGTAAAGTACAAGTAGGCCTACCTCAAAATTCCCCTACAGTACTTGAGTGTATGTAGTTAGTTACTTACCCACCTCTGTAGCATTTTCACTATAAGTATTTAATTGCTTGGAGCTAGAATACAGCTTTACTTTTGTTGTGTATCCTACATTCAACTGTGGGAAGTAGGCCTACAAATACAAACTAGACCAAAACAAAGTCATTATTAAGGTTTAAATCATTCTTTGAAGCAATCTGAATCATTCTCTAGCATGCTGCCTTCACATCTTCTTACAACTATAATGTAATGGTGATTACTGCCCCTGCTATTCATTCACTTGTAATAATGATAGCAATATACATAATATCTGCTTTATCGCTGCAGTTACCCTGAATGAACTATATAGTTGAGGGTGCCATTGTCAATGAAAATACATCAGTCTGCAGTTAATCGCTTTTGATCCTCGCTGCATGGCTTGATCAAGATCCCAGGGAAACATTGTTGGAAATCAGCAGTGACAGCTCACTCAATGCGTGGCTGACCCCTTATTAAACCTAATTGATTGTCAGCTTGTTAGCTCAGTTCCCCAAGTTACTGTCAAGAGTTCTGTCTTTCCTCTAAAGAAGAAGCAGCATCTCAAACATGAAGCATAAAGACACCAAACAACTGAAACGAATATATGTTATTTTCTTCGATGAGGAATGCAGGTGGGTGGTAGGGAGGGGAAGTTTAAAAGTGTGACTGAAAGAAGAAAACTATTATTTAACTAATAAACACTAATTAGTCAACTGGTACAGAAAAAAATGGTTGGATATTTTAAAACTGCTTTTAACTTCTCAAATGAGGCTGTGACTGTCACACCCCCAGGTTTATGTCACGGGTCTTAGTGTTGTCTGTCTAGGTTTGGGTGTTTGCTGTCATGTTTTTCCTCCTGGGTTATTGTCTGGTCCTTTTCCCTGTGTTTTTCATGTCTGTCGTTAGTTCCCTGGTGTGTCTAATTCCCTGATTGTTTTCACCTGTCACTCCTCGTGTGTCTCCTGTGCCCATCAGTGTCAACCCCGCCCCTGATTGTTCCCACCTGTGCCTTGTTACCCTGTGTTTAAATTCCCCTGTCTCCCAGTGTTCAGTGTCAGTTCGTCTTGTCATGTTCAGGTCAATGCGTATCGTTTCTTGTCTATTGTCATGTTAGGTCTATGCTCTTGGAACTCTTTGATTTTTGATTCCTCACTGCGTGAGCGTTTTCATTTTTGCTGTTTTGGAAAATAAAGTATCCAACAAATACTTTACCTCTGTCTCCCGGGTCTTGCATTTGGGTCCTACATCCTAAGTGTCTGGGATCGTAACAGAACGAACTGANAAGGGGTTTAACGTTAGTGGCAGGTTGTGTGTGAGAGAATAAATAAGACAGCCCAATATTTAAAAAAATTGTTATTCTTTTTAAGTTAAGTTACTGCATACATTGTAAAATCCTCAATAAGCACCGTAACTTTCATGATACGCATTTCTCGGTCACGATCGGTTGTTTCCGTGAACTGCTGAATGTTGTTTCACGGTAAATGTTGCGGCCGCAAGGTATTGTGGGACAGCGTTTTCTCCTTTTATTTCGTAAAGAAAGATCCAGTGTTTCCTAAGATAAAGGAGGTTATAAAGGAAGTTTCAAAGCTCCTTTCCTATCATCTAGAGAGCAGCGGTTTTCAAAGTGTGACGCAGCGTCCAAACGGCGGCGTGCGTTGAAGCTTGCCGGTGGGCGTGTCTGAAACTCGACCAACAACCAATCACATGAATCTCCTGCCCCGGACACACAAGCACGCTTTTTGATTGGCGAGAGCTTGTTCTGGCATATGATTTGATTGGCTGACGCTCCCGTCGAAGCTTCAAAAGTTGAACATTGCTCGACTTTTGAACGTGAACAAAGCGAAGCGACGGAACCACAATGCAGTTCTGCAAAGTGTGACGTCACCCCATTCAAAGTGAATGGGAAGAAGCGTTGAAGCTTCAACGCACGCCGCCGTGTGGACGGGCCGTGAGGCGCGCCTCCCCTGGGGGGCACCAGAGAGCTTCAGTGGAGGCACAGCGTGAGAAAAAAAATAACGAGCAAAAGATTAGTAAAGTGACACTTGCACACTTTTGGCTGTCTGTGGAGACCGAGTTCACCCACCTCGCCAAAAAGGCTGTAAAAGTGCTCATTCCCTTCACCTCCACCTACCTGTGTGAGTGCGGGTTTTCCGCATTGACTTTGAAAAAAAAAGCAAGTGCCGGTCAAGGCTGCAGCCAGAGGATGATCTGCGTTTATTCCTGTGTGCATCAAAGACGCAGACTCATTGTTCCCACTAAAGTAGGGGTGAGTGTAACGAGGAGGCAAAGTTGACGTTCAGTGTGTTGCCGGGAGCATATAAGGATGTATCCACGATGTTGAAATTGTTAAAAATGTTTACAAAATATGTGTCGAAAATATACGGGTAGTGCTGCAGCTAGATTTGCCTGTCCTCTGTAAGAAGGTAGGAAGAACGGCTGTCCACAGCCTGTTCCAACTTTATTAACTTCCAGGGTAGTGAATTGAACATGCAATTGTAATTGGGTGTGTGGTATATTTTCATGCACGGACACGCATGTTCAACAACACACAAACTGGACAACACTCAATTGTCCGATCGCTACCAGTGTCCTTGCGATCTTGTTATAACAACAAGTGCACGTTGCTGATGCAATATGGTTGATATCATTCGGGGTTTTTCTAGAGGGGTGCTAAGAATAGTCCAAGTAGTGGGGGAGTTTTATACAATATGTTTAAAATGTAAAGAGAAAAAGGTTTTAAAAAGTTATTATTTAATCAGTGGCGGCTGGTGGAAAATATTTTTGGTGGGGTTATGGAAATGGTGACCAAACCATACTAGGGGGGTCTGGGGGGATGCTCCCCCGGAAGAAAAATGTTGAGAAATGACCCATTAAATTATGACTTCTGGTGATGTTAGAGTGATGCTAATTTCACTTACCCGGTAAGTGAAATTAGCATGGTTATCATTAACGTAACGGCCCGTCTACACTACAGGCATAAAAAAATCTTGAAGCTGGGCATGTCTGAGGCTTGGCGATTTCTCGCGCCCAAGGCGACC